GAAAGGTGTGATTTTTCCCAAAAATCCTTTAAACAATGAATGAGATGTTTCATTTTTCTTTCCCGATAGCAAGTGTAAAATATCTCTTTATTCTCACATATCCATATGTGTAAGAAGTCATGAATGACGTGATATCGTACAGCATGAGCAAAATGCATCTCTATGCATGTATGTCATGCGTGCATGTAAATGCCATTTATCTTAGAGATGAATCATGTACTCACACTCTTAGAGTACTCAATCTCACTGTCTCACACTTTCTGCTCATCATGCTCAATAACTCAATACTGTATATGGCCAATCCATCCCAGGGAAGATCCATCTCGGAATATATGCATCAACTGACCATCAGTCGCTCAGTACCAGGTACGGCCCAATCCAGCCCGTGGAAGATTCATCCCCAGGTATATAAATGCTTCGGACAAGATCCATGTCCAGTGAAGATCCATCCCTCAATATATAAATGCTTCGGACAAGATCCGTGTCCAGGGAAGATCCATCCCTCAATAAAATTAACCGCGCTCACTGGGGGTGTGTGCAGACTCCGCAGGGGCTCCTACAGCCCAAGTGCTATCATAAAATCAGTATAAATGTTACGGCGTGCAGCCTTATCCCATAATTGTCACCGATAATCAGGCTGTCGGCCTTACTCAGTCATCAATCTCTCCAGTCTCACTCACGGGGTCACAATGTCATGAAACTAGCCCGACAACAATGATATGATGCATCAATAAATAACAACTGAGATATGATATGAATGAATGAATATGACTGAGTATGAAATATCAATAAAATCAGTAAGATGACAACAAAAAAATGGCCAATATGGGTCCCAACAGTATCGGCATAAAGCCTACACATGATATCTAGCATAGATCACAGCTAAATAGCTCAAGTACGTAGAAATTTCATATTTACATGTAAGATCATGTAACTACACAGTACCACTGAAATAACGGGGTCACAATTCACTCGGTGCATGCCCACATGCCCGTCACCTAGTATGTGCGTCACCTCAACATCAATCACATAGCACGTAATTCGGGGTTTCATACCCTCAGCACCAAGTTTTGAAGTGTTACTTATCTCGAAAAAGCCAATTCCAATACCGAGCATGCCAAGTGATGCTCTGAAAAATGCCAGCACGCGTGTACCGACCTCCGAATGGCTCAAAACTAGCCAAAAGCAACTCAAATTCATCAAATAAAGCCCAAGGAAACTATTTCAAATGATAATGATCGAATCCTCAATCAAAACCCAAAACTGGCAAAAGTCACACCCGGGCCCATGCCTCGGAACATGATAAAACTCACAAAATCCGATAATCCATTCAATTATGAGTCCAACCATACTAGTTTCGCTCAAATCCGACTCCGAATCGATGTTCAAAACTCAAAAAATCACATTATGAAACTTTAAGCCAAAACCCCCATTTCCTCTTTAAATTCATCAATTGCTAAAAATAAAGATGGATTCATGAAATATAATCAAAACCGAGTGTAGAATACTTACCTCAATCCTTCTGATGAAAATTTCTCCAAAAATCACTCCATTCCGAAGTCCATAGCTTAATATGTGATAAAAATGACCAACCCTCGAACTTATAACATTATGCCCAGCGATTCCGTATTTGCGGACAAATCGTCACATCTACGACCACCACTTTTTCGGTAAAACTTTGCTTCTGCGAAACAGCCTGACCCAGCAATACCTCGCACCTGCAGTCTTTAAGCCGCTTCTGCGATCGCGCTTCTGCGCACTTGAACTGCATCTGCGATTGCGCAGGTGCGTCCAAGCATCCGCACCTGCGATCTTCACGCCCAGCTCCCCTTCGCGCTTCTGCGATGAGACTGCCACTTTTGCGGCTCCGCACCTGTGCCCAACACTCCGTAGCTGCGGTCACACCAGAACCAGAAATCTTTAGCAATGCAACATGAATGAAAATGATACGAACCTCGTCCGAAACTCAATCGAGCCATTCGGGACCCCGTCCAAATATACCGACAAGTCCCATAACATAACAGGGACCTACTCGAGGCCTCAAAACATACATATGAACATCGAGTTGATGAATCACACCTCAATTCAAAATCAATAAACTTTGCAACTTCAAACTTCCACAACCGATTTCGAAACCTATCAAATCACGTCCGATTGACCTCAAATTTTGCACACAAGTCAAATTTGACATTACGGACCTGTTCAAACTTTTGGAATTGGAATCCGACTCCGATATAAAAAAGTCCACTCTCGGTCAAACTTTCCAAAATTCTAACTTTCGCCATTTCAAGCCAAATTCTGCTACGAAGCTCCAAATCACAATCTGAACGCACTCCTAAGTCCAAAATCACCCAACGGAGCTAACAGAGCCATCAAAAATCCAATCCGAGGTCAAATACTAAAAAGTCAAACTTGGTCAACTCTTTCAAATTTAAAGCTTCCTAGTTGACAATCATTCTTCCAAATCAAACCTGAATAACCTGAAAATCAAAACCAGCGATTCATACAAGTTAAAATATATCATACGGAGTTTCTCACACCCGTAAACTACCGAGAGAAGTGCAAATACTCAAAACGACCGGTCGGGTTGTTACATACTCGACCCACCAATATGTTTATCAAAACTTTTCTTTTTATGACAAATCTTAAACCCTGTACTTGAAAATACATCACATCTACCTTGATGAATATTATTATCTTTACATATATAATAATACAAATAATAGGCTGCATCTTTACTTACACTGTAGTCCAACCAATCATGATATTCATCATCAAATCATTTAGGATACATTGATCTAGAAATATTTGTTTAAGGAAAGTCATGAAGTCGTGGTTGACAAGGACCTTGTCGAAGGTATCCTCTTCTAATAACATCACGACTATTTGAATGGAAGTCCAAGATTTAAGTTCTTTTCTTCGGGTCAAACTTTAAAGAGTTCAAATCACATTCATGAGAAGATGATATTTCTGGGTGGTTGATATTCTCTTCCCTAGATAGGTTGAGTATGAGAAGCCAAATTTGGTTTTGGTCCTTTGGTAAAATACCTCTTTATTGAATTTTGAGATTAAATTATAAAGTAGAAATGTAGTTAGAAATATAATTATATGAATGTGGTATTAAAGAAGGGTTAGCTTCAACATAAATTAAATAAAAGTGCATGTTCAGAAAAGATTCAAGTAGAAGTACACATTATTCCAAGACTCAATTTTCTTTAGTTAGTATCATCTTAAGTTTCTTTAGTCTAATGTCATTTCAATTTTCTTTAATTTAGGCCAAATTTTTTTAGTGTCGTATTTCAATGGGACATATCACCAAGAGCACCTCTAAAATTGCATTTCGAATTTCTTTTCACTAAAAGTAACACTTACTTTTCCAATACAATTATAAAGGTACTAGCTCTGATACATATTAGAATATTAGTTTGATGTGCTAGGCAACTTATTTTACTTGTAACTACATTATGTCTTAGTTTTTTGTAAGTAATTCACGTGAACTAATTCTCACCCATCAGTATTGAGCCTATGGCTTATGATGAAGCAGTTAAGAGATTATCTGATCATGATGCTTACCTTAATTTTCAATACATGAGAGCTAATTTCAATCCATTAAAAAAATCACAAAAGTTCAGATGGTTTTCTTCAAACAACTTTTTTTCTTCAGCAACAACAACAATAACAAAAAACCTAGTATGTTCCTAATAGGTGGGGTCTGGGGAGGGTAGTCTATACGCAGACCTTACCCCTATCTAATGCAGGTATGGAGGCTGTTTTCAATATACCCTTGGCTGGAAAAAGGTGAGAAGAAGAAGGAGGAGGAGGAGGAGGAGGAGGAGGAGGAGAAAAGCAAGAAAGGAAGAGAGAAGAAAAAAAGAGAGATAAAGGATAAGTAGTTCTAAATAGTAGCAATAGATAATACAATACCTGAGGCGAACAAAACCACATAACACAATAAAAATCTAAGAATATGAAGGGACATGCGTGCTACTAAGACTATCGGTGAGCAATTAAGAAATTGCCTGCTCACCTTCTACCCTAATCCTCAACCTCCTATCAAGGGTATGCCATATCCTACCTAATAACCTCTCCCCAATACTTCTTAGGCCTACCTCGACCTCTTCTCAAACTCGCCATGGCCAATCTCTCACACCTCCTAACACGGGTATCAATGCTTCTCCTCTTAACATGTCTAAACTATCTAAGCCTCGACTCCCGCATCTTGTCCTCCATGGAGGCTATTCCCACTCTGTCTCGGATAGCTTCATCCTTAATCTTATCTCTCCTGGTACACCCACACATCCATCTCAACATCCTCATCTCTGTTACTTTGAACTTCAGCACGTGGGAGTTCTTGACTAGCCAACACTCAGCCCCATAAAGCATAGTCGGTCGAACCACCACTCTATAAAACTTACCCTTAAATCATGGCGGCATATTCTTATCACATAAAATGCCGGAAGCGAGCCTACATTTTATCCATCCCGCTCTGATGTGATGTGCGATATCTTCATCAATCTCCCAATTACCTTCGATAATATACCCGAGATACTTAAAACTAGCTCTCTTAGGGATAACTTGATCATCAAGCTTTATCTCTACGTCTGTTTCCCGTCACTGAATTTGTACTCCAAGTATTTTGTTTTGGTTCTGCTTAACTTGAAACATTTAGACTCCAAGGTCTATCTTCAAACCTCCAACCTCGCGTTAAATCCACTTCGCGTCTCGTCAATCAACACTATATCATTGGTAAATAGCATGCACCGAGGCACCTCCCCCTGAATGTGTCGCGACAGTACATGCATCGCCAAGGCAAATAAATACGGGCTAAGAGCCGATCCCTGGTGCAGCCCCATCACAATAGGAAAATGCTCCTCACTTGTGTCTTAGCACCATCATACATATCCTTAATCACCCTAATGTACACTACCGGAACAGTGCTAGCCTCCAAACACCTCCACAGAACCTTCCTCGAAACTTTATCGTTCGCTTTCTCAAGGTCAATGAACACTACTAGCTTGCTCAATTTAAGTGCTCAGCCTAATGTTCATGCAATTCACCAAAGACTTCAAGAACACAAGAAAATAGAGGCATCATCATCAATTTCATCAATCAGTGATCCCAAGAGTGAGATACATAACTTCAGTAAACAAGCCCATTTGACAATTTCACAAGTTAAGGAGAAGGAAGTTGAATTTTCATCACAAAATAAATCGGTAGTTCAAGAAAAACCTCAGATCAATCTGAATGAATTTCTTCAACAACTTAGAAAACGGAAAAGAGATGATGATAAGGCAGACAAAAGTCATGATCATAACATTAGTTGTTTTACAGAGTCGGAAGGTTCATTGAAAGATGACAGTTCAATTGCAAATTTCTTTGCTGATACAAGTTACAATGGGGACAAATCGGGTGCAATATTAGGGAATTGATGGTGCCAAAACTTTAAGAGTCATTCTCAATAACATCAAGGATGTAATAAGAACAACAAGTATCTATAAAAAAAAGCTTTTAGCCTCCATGATCGAGTCAAAGTATCTCAATTCCGAAAAATAAATCAGCAATTATTTTTCGTAAGTTTATCAAAGCAAATGCACTAGAAAACTCAATAATTTACTGTACCAAAGTCTACAGAATCAAGAATCAAGAAATAACAAGCAAGACTGATTAACCTAAATTAAGAATCAATATTCATTAATAAACACTAATAAAAGTCTGGAAAAAAAAGGTTAGAAAGAGAAAGAAACTTACTTAGGAAGTAATGACGGAAGAAACGTCGGCGATCGACGACCGGCAACCGGCGAGGCAACGGAAAGAAGAATAGTGGCGAGGCAGACAGATGAGAACAGTGGCGTGAGGTAACTAAGAAAGAGAGAGGGAAGGAGTGGTAGATGAGTGAGGCAACAAAGATATATATATATATATATATATATATATATATATATATATATATATATATATATATATATATATACACCTTCTGTAGAAGGCGCAAAGGTCACAAGTTCAATTCATGTTAAGTGCAATCTTATCCTTTTCACTTAAGGGTTTTTTTAACAAAATGAAACGACATCGTTTTGCCCTTTTAATATATTTCCCCCCCATAGACGTGACTGATTGGGATTTGGGTTAAAAATCCCTAACTCTATCTCTCTCTCTCTCTCTCTCTCTCCCCCTCTCTCTCTCTCTCTCTCTCTCTCTCTCTCTCTATATATATATATATATATATATATATATATGTTGAACCCCCTTGATACATGCCAAAAGCTTGGCTCAGCCTATACAACACTATAATTTTTCAACAAAGGGGGTTCGCCCCCTTCCACCCCCTAAATTCGCCCTTGTCGCGTAGTTAATAATTGGCATTAGCACATGTAGTCGAAAAATATTAGGTAACTAGTAACCTCTATAGCTTTACCTTCTTTTTTTTACATTTTTCTATATCCATCAAGGAAAACCTACTCTAGTTCTCTTCCCTAGCAATCATTCAATAACTCATAAAAATTTTGAGATAGTTTTGTAGTTGAAAGAAATGGCAATTCATCAGAAAGAACCATTCACTACAACAATTATGGTCTAACGCCACACTAGTTTTAGACAACGCTTGAAAAGTGTGCCCAAAAATATATTTGGGCACACTTTTAAGAGGTGGCCTTTGAATGGAGCTTTTGGCTACGAAAAATTTGGCTACACTTGTAAAATGTGCTCTTTAATTTATTAGGCCACACTTATTAAACGTTATAATTGGCAACATTTACTTGAGTATGTGGCACTCTTTTTAAGCGTGCTTTTATATTATAATTGAAAAAGCAACACTTTATAAATGTGCTCTAAAAGTCCAACAAAATATTTGGCTAAAATATAATATTCCCTCCAAAAAAATATAATGTTCCCTCCGATATACTCTAGGTAAAATATTATTTTTTCAATTTCAAAAAGACAAAAAGATTTCTCTCCATCGCTAACATCTCTGTGGATACATTAGTTAGGGTTTCTGGCTTCAATATTGTGGATACTGAATCTTCAGGATAATTAGGTACTGTTAATTTCTTCCCTTAATTTCTGCACCTTCTCACTTTGGGTGGTGTTTTTGTTTTCAAAGTATCATCTCAAAGGAAGAATTCCGTTTCCCCTTTCTCTTAGGTACTGTTTTTCACCTTCTCGCCCTCCTCGTTCCAGATTGAAGAAATTTATAAAGCTAAAGAAACGGGAATTCTTCCAATCTCAGGTTGGTGCTGTTCTTCCAGGTTGTTCTCAAATTCCTCCTCTTTATCGTGTTCACATTGAGCATCCCATGTTTGACGATCGTTTGTCACAATTTGTTGCTCATTAGACATCATCTTATTTGTAGATTGTGCTTGAGATAATGCATCCATACTTTTCTCTACATGTTTGTCTGTTGATAGAAGTTGTTGCCCAGAATTAATCTCTTGTTCTCCACATGACTCCATGGATTGGGAAGGAACCTCCTGCACGGACTTATTCACTGTAACCATTAGCTGCTTGATCTTAGGAATAGAATCCCTCAAAAAGGTTGCGTGGGGTTCCTTAACTAGTTTAGCAACTTGTGGATTGGAAAATTGCAGTGTTGGTATAGCTTCATTATATTCTTGTGCATTAAGAGCGTCAAAATAAACAAATTCTGTCCCTAATTTATTCAATTGCTGCTGCTGCTGCATTGCACTGCCTGCATTCAGAGCTTCAGCATTTTTCAAAACACCTAGTGCAGCCTGCTCCATTCCAGTTGTGATTTGATTATCTACATACCATGCCTTTGAACATGTAGAAGCTGCAAACTCGATGGCCATAACATCGAAATGATTTCCTTCAATATTAATTTCCACATATTCTCCAGTTTTTACATTTTGCACACCTTGAGCTTCAGATTTTTGTGCAGCAACTACCTTCCATTGCCCAGCTCTTTTATCAATAGCTGGTCGATTCTCAAAGAAAGACACGATAACGGTTGGTCACATATTGCAACGGAAAGCAAGACTACTGTAATATGTGAAATTAGTGAGAGGACATTATCTCCTCTCCTGATCTTATGAGCGGCAGTCGTGAGTCTTGGAAGCTATGCATCATCTGGCATTTTTATATGTTTCCTTTATGCAATCTAGAGAAATAAAGCATAATGCGCATTGTCAATGTTACATTTCTCTCATTTTACAGCTAGCACTCATGTGGGTACCCTGGAGAGATAGGTGCAGGAGAGAGCTTTTCGAAAAAGGGGAGGAACATGACTTTCTACAACTTAGGACTTGTCTTTTATTTTGTATCAAAACTTTTGGAGCACCCACCAAGTTCCTGTAGGCATAGATGAGTAGGTGTCTTATGTGTAGACCATATCTTTGTGTGGTACTTTCTTTTTGGTATACCTATACGGGGTATTTTCCCCACAACGTCAATAAAATAATACTTTCATCAGAAAATATTTGTCTCATGCTGTCTCGCGCTGGCAGGTCAAATGGTTGAACAAACAATTGAGCAAACTGTGGCCATTTGTTGCCGAGGTAAGCTTTTGGCTCTTATCTTATTGCAATTTTTGCTTCATAAGTCATTTCTGGTAACTTTACTATCATCCAAATTGTGCTTCGCACAGCTAATTAAATTGGAGGTCCTTTCTAACTGATAAACAAAAGGAAGTTTTCTTCTATTGTCAGAGTAATGACCAAATTTTCTGTTATAGTGATCCTCATTTTCTCCTCTTTAGAGAATCTCCCCTCAAAATTTAGTCATTCCCTAGTATGCTACTTGTTCAATACAGAGTTGTGGATCTGGTTTCAGAAAGCAACGTTACGAGCACAGGACTTCAGTGCTTGCGAGCTGCTTTCCTTGTATTGCTTTCCTATATCGAATCAGATATGGTGGCTGCTCAGCATGAATAATTTAGTCAATAAAGTTCACATTATTCATGTGGAAACACTTGTATCAATGTCAAAATGTTAGTTAGATCAGTAACATTTTGTCTCATAGTGTGGTTGAATGAGGTTTCTCCTTTGCAAATGCCATGTTATGAAGTCATAAATCTTATCTCTTGAATATTCGCTATGCAGGCAGCCGAGGCTATTATAAAAGAATCCGTTGAACCTCTTTTGGAAGATTATCGACCACCTGGAATTACTTCATTGAAGTTCAGCAAATTGTCCTTAGGAACTGTGGCACCTAAAATTGAAGGTAGCAACATAATCCATTCATTATCACCGATCAACCAAAAAATAAATCATACTTAATACTGGATTACCTACCAGCACATCCTTGGTGCTTTAAAACATTGTATTTCGTCATCGTTAATTGATTTGTACTTTGGTGCTACATATGAATTGCCTCTTAACTGTATAACAGTTTGATGACTTGATCTGGGACAGAAATTTAAAGTTTATGCAGCCTTGTTTCCTTCAATCAAGTTTTCAAGATAATAAGTACATTTAGTTAGTTTTGCATAACTGACCTTGGTCTTTTAATGCTCAGTGGATCGGGTTGCATTATTCCCAACATCTTTGAAGCCTGCTCATTTACCAACTTGTTCAGTAGTAGCATTAGTAGGTCGACAACCTCCTGTAACTGTCACCATAGGATCCAGATCTGTTCTATCAATAGTGGGGGTCAATGGAACAGTAGTTTTCCAAGTATCATTATTGGATTGCAAACCTCCAGCCGAGTTTTCCATTTTGTCCAATCTAGATGCTGTAGCATTTTGTTTCTCTAAATCCTCAACACTTACAGGTTCATGTCCCTCACCAGTCACAGTATCAACATCATAAACTATGCATCAGGTTGTTCAGTTGTAGCAATACTAGGTCGATCACCTTGTGCTGTTGTCACAATAACACTGCCATGACCTCCTTTATTCCACATCCTATTTCCTGCATCAATAACCATAGGTTTAGACATCCTAGCTAATACATGAGCTACAGGAACAATATTAACAGCATTGTTGAAGCACTGTGCATCAGCATGACTATTAACTTTTGGTCCAGCTGTTGTTGCTGCCTCGATTTCACCTTGTAAAATTAATACATGCTGCTTCCCACTATCATTCAAATTACTGCCATTCCCTCTATCAATCTACACCCTATTTCCTGCATCTCGAACCTTAGCTTGAGACAACCTAGTTAGAGCACGATCTACAGGAGCAATAACATCATTCTTTGCTATAACTGAGTTGTTCAAAATCTGCTACTGCCCATTATTTCTGGTATCTTCTGTATTTAACTCCATTATTTGGCTAGCTCTTTTTGCATTCAGATAGTCCCTAGCATCACCTCGAAGTTTTTCAATGACTGGACCAGCTGCCTCGACCATTAGAAGACCATCTTGAGACGTAACCCCTGTTGCTTCCTCTACCATCGCCTCTGTTCCAGCTTGTTCTTTCATAATTCGACACACCTTGTCGTCATTTCCTTGATGCTTGCAATAAGTGCAATATTTA